TGTCAAAATTACTTGTCAGATCAAAATTTGCTAAAGGAAAAAGTTGTTCCTTTTAGCACAAAGTATAACGTCCTGTACTCCGAATGCGCCAATTCTGGGACACCCTGTATACCGTATTGTAAATACCAATCGTGTATACCTCCCGATATCGATTCGGTCGAAGTGTATGAAGAGCGCACACAAAGCACACACATTAAAAGCGCCGCGTTTCAGTTCTACGCGCTCATACGTACCTCTCCCACTGACGTAGCCAGGAGATTAACAATCTTTTCGTGCGGTACAGCAACAACACTCTGATTATTGATTTCAATTATCCTATGGCCCACTCGTACGCCGCCCCGCTCGGCGATACCACCCCTCAATAGACTACATATCACCCCGTTCTGTACACTAAATCCTAACTGATACTTCGTGTCGGGTCTCTTGATTTTCACTTCGACCACAGGTGCACACGGCACGACAGTCAGCTTGACGACCGTTTGATTCTTCGAGTTCTTTATGTAAGTCTGACACGTGGACAAAGGCAGGCCGACTAACGATACGCCGTTAATCGCTATTATCTGATCGCCAATGTTAAGCTGGCCGCAACGTGCGGCGGCACCGGCCGGCGCCAGATTCGCTATGACTACGGTTGGCAGCATCGAGCCCCATCCGGACTCAACGATCACAACACCGAGGATCTCTCCCTTCGCCTTCGGTACCACTACCTGAAAAGCAGAAAAATCTTTACTCCAAAATGCGATTACGAAAAGTTTCCTTACAGGTCGATCGCGACACAATTGACATCCACGTTTCCCGGGGGTGAAATTAATTCGATTTTCAGAATTCACGAGAAACGTGATGTCTATCGATAGCTCCGACGAGTTTCGGCGAATCGACAGGAAAGCCATCTTCCTCGAACCGTCAGAATGTAGATGTCCCTTTCCCTTTCCGAGTTTTAGCAAATTGAAAGAGCGTAACGCGCAAATTCCGAAAATTACCTCTTTCTGCATCTCCTTCTTCGCGAACATCTGCAGCTCGTCGCCGAATATCTCCTGCGAATTGAGCACCTCCTGGTAATCCATCTCCTTAACGAAGCTATGATCCTCTATCCCGTTTGCCTTTAGGAACTCCATGTAAGCTACTTGGAATGCTTGTCCGATACTTTGTGCTATAAATTGAGCCTCCTCGCTTTCGAAAACGTGGCATATCATCTTCGGAGTTCGGTTGATCTTTGGTACCTCTTCCATTTCGTGCGGCACGAAGCGTCGCCGTGCCATCAGCACTACCAGATCACCGATGTCCGCTATGTACGAAATCGTGCGTAACGCGTGATCCATCATGATCTCCTTCAGATCGGTGTTGAGAACCATGATCTTCTCCGTCGAGATGAAGAGATCTACCTCCGTGCTTGGCTGAGTGTCACCGTCCGGTGCCTGTAGGACACACGTTTTCAGAAAATTGTTGCATATGAATTTCTACGCAAACGTTTCGTATACATTTCGCAAAATGGAATATACGTACCAGCGCCTATCATAAGGAAGCAGCATGTGTGACAAAG